GGGGGTTGGGAGGCGGCGGGGCGGGAAGGGAGAGGCTTTCAAAGTCAACGATAGGAAAAAGGGAATAATTATGGCCCCAATTCTTCCGTCCTGAGACTCTAAGCTAGATTTCCTTTGACCTCTTTATCCTGTTGGTTGCAGAGCTAGCCTAGAAGAATTAAAAGAATACTTTATGGTTCTGATGAACTCTAGTAGCTGGAGAGACGGCGTTAAGTCCATGTGTTCCTGTCTATTTTACCCTGGGGAAGTCAATAATACTAGAAGGAGCTTGATACGTCTTGTCCGTCTCTCATAATATTACACCTAACTGGCTCAGTCAAGAAGCAAACTGGACCGAGCAAGGGGCAAGGTGGCTTCAAATGGAACACTTGCCCATGGGTGTGGTGAGTCGGCGGTGAGGTGGAGGGGTCCTCGGTCTGGTCCGTTTGTGCTGGTGGGCTGCCCTCTAGCGGCTGCGTCCGGTGCCGTCCGGCGTCAAACCTTCGAAACTCCCTATTGGACCGGGTTGGTCGGCAGGAAAGAGAATCAGCTTAGGAGGCAGGTGATTATTGGAAAATGAAAACTTAGTACGCCCACTCCCCTCACGAGAAACAGGTTGGGTAAAAAAGCCTTTTGCATTTGAAAGGACCGTCCGCCCCGCCCCCCAAGGCCCGTTTACGGGTCGTTTTACGACAGTGTACGATCACAGGCTTGCTTTCCGGCAGCGTGGTCTGACGCTTCGCTCTTATTGCCAACAGCTGCCCCCAGGTGTGGGTGGGCATCGACAGGGTTTCGAAGGTTCGAGTCCCACTACGGGAATGAGCCTTTTTGACCTTTTTCGGGGCTTTTTCGGCTTTTCTGGTCCTCGGAGGTGAGAGCGGGTCTGGGTCAGACGGGAGGGGTGGATCTTCTGAGGGGAACTTGACCCCGACACCCTATTTTTGGAAAAACATCCTTTTCCCCACTCCTTCAACTCCTGCTGAGAGGACAGAAGGCACAACATTGAGCACTCATCCCGCGACAGTAACCAAGGCGGTCGTTAAGAGGAGGAGAAACAGCCGCTTAAGCCTTTCTCCAATCTGGGGTGATGCAACAGGGGCCCGGGTGGGGAAGACAATGGGGCTCTGGGGAAGAGGACAATGAGCGAGTGAACAGGACCTTGGGAGAGAGGGGAGGGGCCGGGGAACACTGAAAAGCCAAGGGGAGGAGCCCTTGTTTGGGGGACCCGCGAGGTGAGGACTGACTTTGGTAAAAACAAAACAGAAACTTATGGCCAGCCCTCTAACCCTCACTTCAGCTTCCCAGATCCCTGCTGTTGTCCCAGTTCGTCACCCATTAACTGATTTTATGGTTTAAGTAGTGCTGAAATCTTGGTGGCCAATCTGCCTCCACCCCCAGCCACAGAGATCCCTTTTTTGGAGGGATGACTCGCGATGATGATGAAGATGATGAGGAAGAGGAAGAAGAAGGAGCCACGTGGAGCCGTGGGAGCTCGAGGTTTGAGGGTCCCCAGCCTCCCGAGGAATTTGGCTTCGGCTTCAGCTTCAGCCCAGGAGGAGGGATGCGTTTCCACGATAATTTTGGCTTTGATGACCTAGTACGGGATTTCAATAACATCTTCAGCGAGATGGGGGCCTGGACGTTGCCTTCCCGCCCTCCTGGTGTGTGGATGCTCCTGGGGGAGAACCTATGGTTTCTGCTGAGTCTGTGGGAGAAAAAATGAGCCTGCAGAGAGTAGGTGGGGGGTGGGGGTGGGAAGTGTGAAAGAACTGATGATTTCAAGGAGATATAAAAGGGCCCAAGTCCTTTCCCACCCTTAGCATCATCTGCCACCTTTCTGCAGAACTTCCAGGTCCTGAGTCAGAGACATCGGGTGAGAGACAGCAAGGACAGACGCTTCGGGACTCAATGCTTAAATATCCAGATAGTCACCAGCCCAGGATCTTTCATGGGGGCTTGGAGAGTGATGCAAGAACTGAACCCCCCAAACCAGCACCAGACTGGGGATCCCAGAGACCTTTTCATAGGGTGAGTACATCTGGGCCCAAAGTGAAAGCCTGTGGAAGAAACTGGCTGCAAAGACTGGAATCCAACAGGGTTGGACTCCTAGGCCCTCCCCTTAGTGTATTAATCTGTTTTCTGTATTAAGCTTCTTGTAGGATTTTCTTTCAGGGGGAAATGGGAGTGCTGCTTTTTTCTTTAAAAAAAAATTACTGGTCCAAATGATTCTTGGACAAGGCAGGGCTGTTGTGGGAGGACAGAAAAGTATCAGTTCAGGGATGCTTTTGAGAGAAGGATACATAAAACAGCTAGAGAGAGGAAGGGGTGAGTAAGTAAAGCTATCCTGACTGGGATTACTTCTCCTGAGAAAAAGTAGTTCTGGAACTAGGGAATAGTTTGGGTTCTGTGACTCCTCCAAGTTTCAGATTGGAAGATGTCATTTCACCTACTTTGGCTTCTTCTACAGTTTGATAATATGTGGCCTGTGACCCCCGATTCTCGAGCCAGAGAGGACAATGGTGAGTCTGGAGGGAGAGAACGTTTACCAGCCCTTTGTTCTCCCTCCCTTAAATTTCTTCCTGCCACACTTGTCCCCATCTTTCCCCTGGACTCCATCTTTCTTGTTTCCTCTCTCTGCCCTTCTAGATCTTGATTCCCAGGTTTCCCAGGAGGGCCTTGGCCCAGTTCTGCAGCCCCAGCCCAAATCCTATTTCAAGAGCATCTCTGTGACAAAGATCACTAAGCCAGATGGGGTGAGTTGGGAGAGAGTTGTGAAGGGAACCGTGGCCAGAGAATACCCTGGAAAGGTCAACCTGCGTAAAGAAACCAGTGAACTCACCTTTAGTGATGTTAGGGATATGCTGGGGGCTTCTCCTTTTAGACAGTAGAGGAGCGCCGGACTGTGGTGGACAGTGAGGGCCGAAAAGAGACCACAGTAACCCATCAAGAAGCAGGTGGCAGTCCTAGAGATGGTAAGTGAAGAGTATGAGTCAAAGGGGGTCCATCTCTTAACTCCTTGGGAATGGGAAACCCATACTTTCCTACCTTTTACTATTACTCCTCTCCTTTGCCTCTGCCCAGTCTCTCATTTAGCCTGTGTATATCTCTTTCTTCCTTAGATCCAGAATCACCAACACCTCCATCCCTGGATGATGCCTATTCCATCCTGGATTTATTCCTAGGACGTTGGTTCCGGTCCCGGTAGCCTTCTTAACCCTCAGAGGCCTTTAGGTTCTTTCACCTCCCACCCTTTGCTCACATCAGTGGGACTTGTAGTTCTCCTCCTGGCACCTCGGGGCCTTGGGTGTGTGGAATAGTGAATTGGGGGTATATCAGTATGTCACTCACCCAAACTGATCAATAAAACCTTTATTTATGCTAGTTCTTTGGTCTTGGTTTTGTCAAGGCGGTCCCACTTTCTTGTACCATCGAGGGCTTCCTAAATTAAATAGGCCCACAAAAAATTATTAATTTTGGGGATTCCACTTCCAAAGCCCGGTTTTGACTGGAGTAAGGTACCTGTAGAAAATGATTTTCCTTGTACGGAGATAACTACTGATAATTTCAGGGAAATTTCTGCATGGGGCTGCATCAGATTTCAAAAAAAAAAAAAAGCAGCAGCATGTTTGGAGGTATAGGGAAATAACTGCTTCCCTGGTGTGACATCACTATGATTGGATGGTTCATGAGGTATTTTGAGGAATTACATGGGTAAATATTTCTTCCTTTACTGGCTATGTTTTTATTTTTATTTTTTGCATATGTTAGAGAAAATATAACAAGCAAAACATAATTGGTCTCTTCAACAAGTGGTGCTGGAAAAGCTGGACAGCCACCTGTAAAACAGTGAAATTAGAGCACTCCCTCACACCAGATACAAAAATAAACTCAAAATGGTTTAGAGACCTAAATGTAAGACATGAAACTGTAAAATTCCCAGAAGAAAACATAGGCAAAACACTCTTTGACATAAATTGTAGCAATGTTTTCTTGGATCAGTGTCCCAAAGCAAAAGAAATAAAAGCAAAAATAAACAAATGGGACCTAATTAAACTTAAAAGCTTTTGCACAGGAAAGGAAACCATCAACAAAACGAAAAGACAACTTAAAGACTGGGGGAAAATATTTGCAAATGATGCGACTAACAAGGTGTTAATATCCAAAGTACGTGAACAATTCATACAACTCAATATAAAAACAAATCCAATCAACAATGAGTAGAAGACTTAAGTAGACATTTTCCCAAGGTCAAGACATACAGATAGCTAACAGACTCATGAAAAGATACCTAACATTGCTAATTATTAGAGAAATGCAAGTCAAAACCACAATGAGATATCACTTTACACCTGTCAGAATGGCTGTCGAAAAGTCTACAATTAAATGTTGGAGAGGATATGGAAAAAAAGGGAACTCTTGTACACTTGGTGGGAACGTAAATTGGTGCAGCCACTATGGAAGTTTTTTAAAAAAACTAAAAATAGAACAATCATATCCAGCAAATTCCACTCCTGGCTACATATAGCCAGAAGGAAAAGAAAATACTAACTTGAGAAGATACATGCACCCCAATGTTGATAGCAGCACTATTTACAATAGCCAAGACATGGAAGCAACTTAAATGTCCATCAACTACTAGGTTAAGAAGATGTCTGTATTGAAAGGAGAGGAGGGAGGAAAAAAGGGTGTGTGTGTGTGTGAGTGTGTGTGATGGAATATTACTCAGCCATTAAAAAGTGAAATATTGCCATTTACAGCAACATGGGTGGACCTAGATAATATTATGCTTAGTGGAATAAGTCAGAAAAAGACAAATACTATATGAGATCACTTATATGTGGAATCTAAAAAATAACACAAAAGAATGTATACACAAAACAGAGTCCAAACAGACTCAGACAGAAAACAAACTTGTGGTTACCAAAGGGGAGCAAGATGAGAGGAGAGACAAATTAGATGAAATTAACAGATACAAACTATTATGTATAAAATAGATAAACAACAAGGATTTTTACTGTATGGCACAGAGAATCATACCCATTATCTTACAATAACCCATAATGGAATATAATCTGTGAAACTATTGAATCATTATGCTGTTCAATATTAGTGTCAGGTAGTTGGCTATAATCAACTATACTTCAATTTTTTTAATTATTGGATTTTTTTTCTCATTAAAAAAGTTTTTAGCACTATGGCTTAGAGTAGGAGATCTTACAAGTGCATTTTCTTCTGTTCCCTCTGGAAACCCCACTAAAATGACAAGGGATTTTTCTAAAGGCATATCACAAAAATATGTGTCTCAAAACATACACAGACAGTCCCCAATTTATGACGGTTTGACTTACAGATTTTCAACTTTACAATGGTGCAAAAGTGATAGGTGTTCAGCAGAAACTGTACTTTGAATTTTGAATTTTGGTCTTTTCCCAGGCTAGCGACACACAGTATGCTAACTCTTGTGATGCTAAGCAGTGACAGCAAATTGCAGCTCCCCGTCAGTCACAGCATCATGAGGGTAAACAACCATTCTGTTTTTCATTTTCAATACCGTATCCAATAAATTACATGAGATATACTACACTTTATTATAAAATATGCTTTGTGTTAGATGATTTTGCTCAACTGTAGGATAATGTGTTATGTATAAGGTAGGCTGAGTTAAACTATGATTTTTGTTGGGTTAGGTTATTAAATGCATTTTCAACTTATGATGTGTTTATTGGGACATAACCCCATTGTAAGTTGAGGAAGATCTGTAGTTTTGTCTTTTATATTTAAGTTTTTTAATTCACCTAGAATTTATCTTTCTATGTGGTATGAATCAGGAGACTAATTTCACTTATTATGCTTGGAAAAATACATACAGATATATGTACAAATACAAATACATATATTTTGTTTATATGTATATATACACACAAATATTTATATACATTTGCTGAGTCTTTGCGCTCTCTTCTATTAATCTATTTATTTATTTTTGTGCCCATATCACAATTTTAAATACTATAGTTGTATTCAGTACAACATATCCTTCTACCTTTTTTTAGCCTCTAACTGTTCTAGCATATAAGAATGCAATTGATATTTCTAATTAGCTTTTGGGAGTACCACTGTAAATGCTCTGTCTAGCAACACAAATGGAGCCAGAGATTACCAGACATCTATGGACAGCCTCAAGATGAAGGATGGTGACTCACAAAAGAAGCAACTTGGAAGAAACAGACTATGCAGAAAGATGAAAATTTAGCAAGGACACAAATTATTAATGTATTGGAAATATGATATATCCATAAAACCAGAACAGATGCTACAAAAGGGGAATAAACAAAACAAGAACAAACTTTGGGGAGTTAAAAATATGACGGCAGAAATGAAAAACTATTTAAAAGGTTTGGATGATAAAGTTGAGAAAATCTCCGAAATAATAGACCCAATACAGAGATAGAAAACAGGAGTAAGATGGGAGTATAGCTCAGTGGTAGAGCATGTTTTTGGCATCATGAGGGCCTGGGTTCAATCCCCAGCAATGAAATAAGTTGAGAAAATATCCTAGAAATGAAGACTATTACTTCTAATATGAAAGGGCCCACCACGTGCTAGATATCAAGGATGAAAATAAACCCACTCCAAGACACATTACATAAAATTTCAGAACACTAGAGATAAAGGAGAATCTAAATGATTTGAGACAAAGAGAAAAAAAAAATCACAGAGGAAGAGGAATCTGAAACTTTAACAGCAACGTCGGATTTAAAAGACAAGGGAACACAATTTTTTAAATACTGAGGGAAAATTATTTCCAGTCTAGATTTGTACATCCAATTAAACTATGAATTAGATGTGGGGGTCATGTTTAGACATGAAAGAGGTCTGAAAGAGAGGTATCTACAAAAACTCATATGAAACATATTTAATGGTGAAAGACCGATGATTTCCCACTAAGATTAGGATAAAGTCAGGCTATCTGCTCTCACCACTTCTATGCAACATTGAACTGGAAGTTCTAGCTAGGATAATAAGGCCAGAAAATGAAGTGAAAGACATGGAATGGAAAGGAAGAAGTAAAAATGTATTTACATATAGCATGACTTTGTATGTAGAAAAAATCCTAAAGAATCAACAACAAAAAAATTACTAATAGTAAAAAGTGAGTATAGCAAAGTTTCAGGACACAAGATCAATATACAAAAAAAAAAAAGATTTCTCTATATTGGCAACAACCTGAAAATGAAATTAAAGCATTTCATTCATAATATTATAATTAACAATAAAATATTTAAGAATAATTTTGGGAAAAAAGTGCAAGAGTTGACCATTGAAAACTACAAAAATTGCCAAGATAAAAATCTAAATAAAAGAAGTATACCACTTTCATGGATCAGAACATTTAATATTGTTAAGAAAACAATTCCACCCAAATTTATATATAGATTCAATGCAATTTCTATCAAATCTTAGGGGTTTTGAATATAAAAATTGAGAAGTCGTTTCTCCTCAATGTGGGGCCCTGTTCTGGAAGGGAGGCCAGGTGAGTTAGTTTTAAAAGGCCATAGGAACCTGACTGCCATAGCCCATTCACACTATCTTCTATAGGGCTCTTGAAATCACCCACTGTTGGAGGAGTGAAATCCATGCCAGTTTCAGTTGTTCTGAAACTGACCTACAGAACTTTTCAGGGAATACCTCAGATATCTTGTTTCTTTTCTCTGCTTTTCTCTGTTTTTCTCTGTTTCTTGCACAAACCCTAAAACGGTATAGGTCTGATGGCTGTTATATTGCCCCAACCCCAAACCCTATTCTACTGGGTTTGAAAGTGTACTTTGTCACATAGTTTTAATAAAAATGTTTTTAATGAGTCTTAGGTTTTGCTATCTATTTGTTATATCTTTTTATGTGGCGATCAAGAAAATCCAAAAACTAGGCTTTTATTGTTATTGCTATTCCCACCAAAATTACCTTTTTTTAATACAAAAAATTGTAAAACTTTATTTAGTATCCAGAAATGAAACTTATTGATAATATAATCTATCTATACACATAATAATTACATATATATGCATACATACTCAAATTTTCTATAAAGGAGAAATAAAAGGGAACTAACTTATAATAAAATAGTGTATTTGTCAATATGTAAATGTTCAGGCATAACTAGAATCCATAATGAAATATCCTGACCAATATAAACATGTCACATTGCCACCCAAATACCATGAAAATGTAACAGCTTTTTCTAAAATGGTGAATGGTTTCCAGGACCTCTTGGCCTCAAAATCAAATAGCCCACATGTTTCACTGTGAGTGAAGGTAAGTGGAGGCTACTTGATTTCTATCCTGTATCTATGTAATTAATTCTCAGATCCATGTAATCTTCCTCTTGGGGACACAAGAGTCATGCAGTTGTCATTGATTTAGGGTATATATTATGTTCTGGAGGATGGTATCCCATCCTCTTGGGGTTTCATCTTGAAGCTGTGTCTTTAAGAGGTAACTGAACTCCTCTATCAGTGTAAGACCAGTGGATCTTTTGGTCATGTGCCCACTTCCACACCTCCTTTACTGTAATGTGGATCCCTTAGTCTAAAATAATGTAATGTGGATCCCATGTCAAGTAGTCTATGTGTGTATTTGAGTGTGGGTGTATGGTAACAGTGAAAAGGCAGATCCTTTGGTGTCTCATGGACATGATCTCCTTGAGTTGACCAGTGCCCTGGACAGAGATATGCCTTTGGCTCAATCTATTATCTCCCCTTTCTGCATCTCACCATCCCCCTTCCTCACATTAATCCTCTGCTCATATGGCAAAGCAGTAAGGGTAAGTGCTATCCTCTTGTGTCCCCCACCTGAAGCCTTCTGGGGTTCTTCTTTGCGCAGGAACTTACCTGCTCGTCCCTCAGACACACTGCATCAGTGTGCCTGTCTGTAGCCTTGGGATACAAGTGCTGTAGTGGAAAGAGCAGACAGATCCAGGTTTAAACCTAAGTTTCACTATGTGACCTTGGCAAGTTTCTTAACCTCCTTGTGCCTCAACTTCCTAACCTATACGATGGGAATAGTAATATTTGTCTTAAGAGTTGTGAGGAGAAGTAGCAGTGTTACCTGGTGACAGTGCCTGGCAGTGACATTTAATGGAAAATTTTTTTCTTCTCTTGATCCTTGATGGGGCCCACCTGCATCCAGGCTTACCCTTGGCCACGTGCTTTCTGGGACGCCTCCGCGGGGCCAAGTTTCCCATTTACTCCGCGGTGCAGCTGCTGCCTGCTTTCCGTGCCTCTGGAGTCACGTACACTCTCTATTATGGTAACAGAGATCAGGGTTGGGGGCACCCATGTGTGAGCAAACGTGTCTCAGAACAGTTTTGAATGAGCAAAGATGGAAATCCTGGGTGTACCCCTAACTTGCAGACAACCTACAGAAGTATACAGGTGGGAACCTGACAATGACTGGCCCCAAGGAGACAGCCTCCATCTTTGCCACCTACCTTGCTCCCTATCTGTCCCTGAGCAATGGCTTCTTGAATCAGGCAGATGTGAGGGGAGACCTGGGAAAGCCCTAGACTTTGCTCTATCCCTTGGGACCCCAGCCTATTGTTCAGGTTCTGGGTGGGATGTGGGGTTAGATTTATCTTTGCACACCTTCCCCAGTTAGCCAAAGTCAGATGACATGGGGTGGTGGCCTGGATTGTTTGGGTGAAATAGGGCAATAGGGCATCTGGCAGCTGATGGGAGCCCCTCTGCCACTGTCAGCTCCAAGGTTCTGGGCACCAGGATGCTGATTGTGGGCATCTTGGCCATACTGGACACATGGAACAAGGGAGTGCCTGCGGTCTGGAGCTAGTGGTAGTGGGGTTGCTGATCCTTGCCATCAGGCTATCCATGGGTGCCAACTGTGGGTTCCCAATCAACCCTGCACAGGACCTGGGCCCACGGCTTTTCACCTATGTGGCTGGCTGGGGCCCTGAAGTGTTCAGGTGGGAGATGGCCTCCCCTGGTGCTGTCCTTCCACTCACATTCCTCTGCTAAGGGCTCTGACCCCAGATCCCCAGCTCTCTCCTCTTAAATACTTCTCTTGGCCTCTTAGGACAGTGTCCCTCCTCTAAGCCCCAGTTCTCCCTTTCTCTCTTGTCTCCTCTCTCCCCCTCCACCCTTTTCACTGAAACAGTAAGATGTAAAGGTTATGTTCTTGGGCACAGCACATTACCCCTTGGGGCATGAGTGACTGCATCAAAAATGCATATATTCTGATAATTTCCTAAGGCAAGAGGCTGGACCAAGCTCTTCTGGGGTCTCCTCCTGTCTGAGTACTATGCTTTAGTGTCAAGACACCCTCTTTCTGGTGTCCATCACCCTAGGAACTGCTTTAGGAAATTCTCATCACTGCCCCCAGTCCTTCCAAGGGAAGGCTAAAGGACTCACCCCTGATATCTCCTTCTGTTCTTCTCTTGCAGCGCTGGTAATGCGGTGGCTGGGGGGCCACCCTTGGCACAATCACATACCAGCTGCTGGCGGCTCTGCACCATCCTGAGGACTCAGAACCAGCTCAGAATCTAGACTGTGCCCAACCTGAAGCCTCAGACTGGGAAAGTCCTACCTCAGCTCAGATGTAGAAGTGTAAGTGGTGATTCTGACACGGCAGCCCTCACCTCCAGATGGGCATGAAGAGGGCCAGAGACCCATGCCTGGTGACAAGATATTTTTCCTCTTTATTAATACCCCAGGTCCTGGGCAGCTTCTCTGTTTACTCATCTAGGCGTCGCTTCCTCCTAACTGAGGAGGATGCCTGGACAGGAAGAACTGATGAGGATCAGGTACAGGACCCAGGCTTTTCATCCTCTCCTCCCCCATGCAGGTTTTCGGACCCTGAGGACTTCCAGGAACGTAGTTCATCAAAGTAGCCACCAGAGGGTGCGCACCTTGGACACCACATTGGGAAGGCTGCGGGAATCTGCAGGATGGTGGGGCCGACGGCCCAGTACGGAGCACAACCCTAGAGACTTCCTCCAAAGCTTGGTCCCCACTGCCTGACCCCTAGCTCTCGCAACTTAAGCGCCGCCCACCTTTACGCTCACCGGGGCGCCTCGTCTAGATTCAGCCACCCCCATACAGTAATTAGGGATGAGGAAACTGCCTCCACCAAGGGGGCGTGGCGGGGTGCGGTGTGGACAGAAGAGAGGGCCGGCGATGCAACACAGCCATTCCAGCGCCTAGAGACTGGGATAGCAAGGCGGAGAAACTGAGGCACGATACCTGGATATTCCGGGCTGTGTCATTCAAGGAGAGGGTGAGCTACAATGAGATGAGCCAGGGCGAGGAGAGAAGGCGAAGGAACTGAGGGTTCCGAGAGGAATGAGCACAGGGATAAGGGAAAGCCGGCGCTGAGGAAAATTGTTGTTCACGGCTTCCCCAACTCTCACACACCTCTCCGAAGGAGATGCTCTTTTAGCAGAGAAGCAGCGTTCTCCTGTTTCCTTTCTTTCAGATAATATTAATAATAAAAATCTCAGCGCTATCTCTCCTCCCGACCTTTTTTTTCTTTCTTTCTTTTTTTGGAGCCGTATGGATCCAGGGCTGGGTGGGGCGGGGGACTCGGTCGGCATCGCACTGCTTTGCATCCGAGGGGTTAAGACCCTCCCCCTGCCCCGCACAAAGATGGCGGCTCCCGCCTTCGCTTGCCCTCATCCCT